TGTATTGCTGAGAAGAGCTAAGTCTGTCAAAGTTAGTCATCTCACAACATGGCTGTTATTGTGTACAATGTTCTCCTGGTTCTGCTCACTTCACTCAACATCATACCGTACAAGTCTTTCCAGGTTTTTCTGAAGTCAGCCTGTTCATCATTTCTTATAGCACAATAGTATTCCATTATATTCGTATACCACAGCTTGCTCAGCCATTCCCCAATTGATGGGCATCCTCTCAATTTCCAATTCTTTGCCACCACAAAAAGAGCTGCTATAAATATTTTTGTACATGTGGGTCCTTTTCCCATTTGTGTGATCTCTGGGTTATAGCCCTGGAAGTGCTATTGCTGGGTCAAAGGGTATACCCTTTGGGCATAGTTCCAAATTGCTCTCCAAAATGATTGGATCATTTCACAACTCCACCAACAATGTATTAGTGTTCCAGTTTTCCCACATCTTATCCAACATTTATCATTTTCCTGTTTTGTCATGTTGGCCAAGCTGATAGGTTGTTTTCTTTTTTCATAATTCTCTTGCATCACTCTCATTTCTTTTCCCAATTTTTCTTCTATCTCTTTTATATGATTTTTAAGCTCCATTTTTATTTCTTCCATGAGTTCTTTCTGGTCATGAGACCACTCCCTATTTGGGGGGGGGGCTTTGCCCATACTTGTTTTGATATTGTTATCTACTTCTGAGTTTGTGTCTTGATCTTCCCTGTCACCATAATAACTTTCAATGATCACATTCTTTTTTATTGTTTTTTTGCTCACCTTTTTGGCCTTTTTCCTTTTTTAAAAATTTGAACTCTGCTCCTGGTGCAGAAGGGGCAATGTCTCAGACTTCTTATGCCAGGGGCTGCAAGCCCTGGCTGTTTACCTGGTTTTCACTGATGTTGCCCTGAGGCGCACAGGGGACCCTCGTATTTGGTGTTGTGCTAAAGGGTGGGGTAGAGGTTAGCTGGCACTACTGGAGGCTATAGGTGTCTGGCAGCTTATGTAGTACTGAACTGGGCTCCTATTGCTGGTGTCTGGCATGTGCAGAAGCCAGAGGGGTGTTTCTGCATTCCCTAGGGCTACACTGAAGCATGTGGTGGTATGGTTGCTGGAGGTTGCCTGTTTACCCATTCCCTTGGCTGTGTTTGAGGCACATGGTGGGGTACTGGTATTGGCAAGGAGTTCCCACTGGTTTGCTGAGTGGTTCTGCTGTTCCAGGATTTGTTTTGGGACATTATTTTGTGGTTGGGGGTGAATATGGGAGAGTTACAGTGATTTACTACCTTACTCTGCCATCTTGGCTCCCGGAAGTTTCACTGACGCCAGATTTAAATTTAGTCTTCATAACTCCAGGCCCACTACCACTTTGCCATTTACCTGCCTCTGAGCCTGAGAAATTACAGTCAAACACATGGAAGGAGAACTAGGAAAGAGAAGTGGTACAGAAACCTAGAGACAAGAGATCATTAGGTAAAGTGGTGGTCAGCATTGTCAGAACTAAAAGAAGGCTAAAGATTGATAAAAGACCTTAGTTTTGGAAACTAAGAGATCATTGGTAATTTTGGAGAGAGAAGTTTCAGTTGAATGATGAGATCAGAAGCCTAAGAGCAGAGAGTGAAGAAAAGAGTGAACAGAAATAAAGTAGAAACAACAGTTGTAAATAGACTTCTCAACGTTAGCCATAAATGGGAGGAGATATAGAGTATGATAGTAAGGACAAAGAGTTTACATCTTTTTGTGAGTGGTGTAGGTATGAACATGTTTGTAGGCAATAGAGAACCAGCCGGTAGACATTGGGAGACTGAAAGTTAGTGAGAGAGCAGGAATGATAGAGGTGGCAATCTTCTGGAGAAGATTAGATAGAATAGAATTACTTGTGCATGTAGTGATATTTGCCTTGGCAAGAAATAGAGGTATCTCTTCATATGAGAATAGGGATGAACGAAAAGATAGTGGCAGAAGGCATCTAGGTGATGTGAGATGAGGAAAAGAGAAGAAAGAACTCTTGACAAATGACCTCAGTCTTTTCAGTAAGAAAAGGTAAGTTTCTCAGCTGAGGGGATAGGGGATTTGATAGCCATGAAAGATTTGAAGAAGGGTAAAAAGATTGGAAGAGCTACTATGGTAAGGGGGATAGTGAATTACTTAGGGAGTTGTAAAAGGATTTCCTTGCCATAGTGAGGGTCCAGTTTGTGATGTGACATAAATTTGTAGTGGATCCAGTCAATACAGTTTTGGGATTTTTCCCAGCTTCATTCAGTTTATGTGTGAGTATGAGTGAAGTCCTTAGTGGATGGTGGAAATGATCCAAGGCTGAGGCTTGGAAGGGCCGGATTAGCGATATGAGAAGACTATAAGGTATTCAATGGAATATGACAGAATAGAGTTGAACTGGTTCAGCAAGAGGTCAAGATGGGGAAGAGAGGAGAGTGTAGCCAATGCAGGGTTAATGGCCTGGGAAAGAACTGAGAGGTTGAGGGATTAGAGGTCGAGTAGATGAGCAAGTACAGAGTTCAAGGCAGAGGGAGAGGTAGAATGACAACAAATTGCGATTAGATAGAGGAATTTCAGATTTCATGAGCATGGAAGTGGAGCACTTGTGAATGATGGCTAGATGTCTGTATGTAGCTGAGATGGGGTGGAATAGATCATGTGAAGTAAGTAAGTTGAGGAATTAGGAGACTTGCCTATTTGAGGAAGTATCAATATATATGTTGAAGTCCCTTGGTGTGAAGTCAGGAGTTGGGGAGGAAAAACTATGACGTGGGCATTGAAGTCACTGAGGAACAAAGGAGAATGTTCTGGAAGTTGATAGATAACAACTCCTAGAATTTTGATTGAGTGATAAATATGGATTTAATGAACCTTAGAGGAGGAGAGGTAATTGAACAAATGGTGGTAATACAGCCTGGAAATCCCAACAGGGAATGAGAAGTATTCCAATTCCTCTACCATAACCAGTGAGTTGGGGGTGGAAATATGAGAGAAAGACGAATCAGTGCTGACAAGAACACATTTCCCTGGCCGGAGAATGTGTGTCATCAGAAGAGAGCTAGGTCTCAATCTGTTCAAGAAGGTGAAGGGAATGAGAAAGGAAAAGATTTTGAGTTGGAAGCTAGTTTGTTACTTATGGAGTTGGAATTCCAGAGAGCACAGAAGAAGGGATGTGTAGCTTTAGAGTGGACATCAGTGGAGTTGATTTGAGGGAGATAGAAGTAAGATATGGTCCATGGTCGATAGAGAATGGAGTTTGAACAATGGCAGCCAAAAATTCAAAATCACTGAGTTAAGGAGGGCACAATGGGGTAGGTTCATTAATCACTGAGAAATGAATTCCAAAAAGTTATCATTGTTCGTAGGTGTTCAGCCAGAGGGAAGATTTGTTCCCCCCACCCCCTCCCAAATCAGTCATCACATAGCATAATTCCAAAGCCCTTTACCATTCTGGTTGTCCCAGTGTGGATGTTCTGGTTTATCAGTGTATTATTTAGAATTGAACATAGTGCTTAGTATGTAGTCTGACCAGAGGAGGGTGAAGTATAACTATTGCTTTCTTTTTTTCTAGAGATCCTAGTGCTTGTAGTCTAAGATCCCATTAGTTTTTTTAGGTGCCATGTTAGACTTCTTGACTCTTACTAGTCTTATAAAATCCGTGAACATTTCCCCACATTGAACTGTTATCTAGATGCATATCCCTATCTTATACTTGTGAACTTGATCAGTTCTTATTCCATTTAAATATATTTATGGGGGGGTGTGTGTGTGTGTATGTGTGTGTGTGTGTGTGTGTGTAGGTTATACATACATATGAAATCCATATGGTTACCATGAGAGATATTAGTAAATACTTTCCTGAAATGCTGCAGGCATCCTATGTCTGTTGTTATTTTCTTCTATTGCGTTTCTACCCTATCATGAAAGATAATAAGGTTAGTGTTGCATAATCATTACTTGATAAAACTGTGACTCCATGTGGTGCCATAGGGCTCCACATGAGCTGGTATCAGGGAAGCTCTTTCACCTCCTTAACATCATCACCCTTGCCCAGCCTACCTGAGGGTGGAGTGGACCACAGGGTCCACTAGACCTTTCTCATGGCGTCCTTAACCTCTTCCAGTTGGATGGTGACCCTTCGACCCCATCCCTTGGGAGGGAGCCCAGAGCTCTGGTTGCATTCCTTCCTTCAGGCACAGTTTTCCCTTCTCAATGGCCATGGACCAGTGCCTGCATCACCAGTACCCATTGGGGTATGACACATATCTGCTCATATTGCTTGGATGAGGAGGAACCCATACCAAAACTTATGTTAAGATAAAGGCCCATCATACTCTACCATCTGTCTTGCTAGTATATCTTCAGGTCCACTGGGTCTTAACCATTCCCTTTGCTCTAGACTCCTGTTCATTGCCATATGACCTGCCAGTGCACCCTACAGCGTCTTGTTCAACCTTGGACCTTGTTCACCATGCCGCTGTACCCTAAGGACCAGTAGGCCTGCCCATCTGCTTTAATGTTTTGTCTTCCATAACTAGAATGTGAACTCCTTGGGAATAGAGATTGTTGTTTTTACCTCATCAACATTTCTCCTCATCTGTTTTCATTGATATTTGTAAATACAGCACTGAATTTCTTAGATTTAGAAAATCCTGAGTAATGCCTTAATTCTTTACCTCACTTGTTAGGGATTAATCTGAACTGTTTACCCATTTTAATAATAGATAGGAATTAAACCAATAGCTAGATGTTTTTGCTTTCTTTTTTTTTTTCACTTCTATGCGTGTCTTTTCCCACCTTCTTAGTCTTTTATGTCCTGAAATATATCTTTTTAAAATTTTTTGTATGTGCCCAGTAACTAATCCAAGACATTGTGCACAGTAAATATACCGGTTTAGTTGCTCAATTCACCTTCAAATGGGAAAACCAAAATCTATTTATTCTCTGAATTGTTAGTATTATGACAAGAATTTTCTCTCCCTAGGCTAAATAAATTTTTATTTTTTTTAATTTTAGGAATCTTTCAAAGAAATATCAACCCAAAAAGAATTCAAAGGAAGAGGAAGAATACAAGTATGTTTATTATCAGTTTATGTACATAACATTGATGATGATTATCCTTTAGGAGGGAGAGCAAATAGGTACCTGCAAGATCAATTTAATTTTGCCTTAATTTAAAGGATTGAAAAAGAGAATATAACTGTTTATATCATAAACCTACCACCAGAAAAAAGCAAACAGCAAAACAGAGGAAATTTTTTTTCAGTTAGTCATTTAACAAATTGTTTTGGGTCCTATTAGAGCCCCAAAAGAGGGTAAAAAGGGAATCATTCACTTCACGTTTTCCAGATTGTATATATTAATACAATTAGGAATAAACTTTATACATAACCTAGCATTTTCTAAAGAATGGAGGTTATTCATGTTTGTAATATTAGTGTTCTTAATATAATACCTACACTCATCAATTGGAAAATGTCCCTATAAGTCATGTGGTATTGAGAGAAACATTATTTATGGTGACTTTTATAAAATGTCACCAATTCCTACCCCAGAAGTTACTTTACTTGAGTTAAATAAGAAGTGACAAAATTACCTTTACTATGACAAAATCATCAATTAAGTAGAATACTTCAGTTCTACTTAAGTCAGTATGACTTCTAAGGCAGTTTTTTTTTAAACTTGTAATTAAATTATGAGTCATTTTGGTGAAAATGTTTAATGATTTGTCTATATCCCTTTTGGGAAACTCTTGCAAATTAGCTTGTTTTAATTAATATTTCTTGTGGCAAGCGATACTGAGTGATGGGAGAGATCTGTGGCTTTGTATAAGTTAATGCAGTAATACAAATTTCTGTTTCTATTGTATTTGACAGGTATACATCATGTAAAGCTTTCATTTCCACTTTGAATGAGATGAATGATTATGCAGGGCAACATGAAGTTATTTCGGAGAACATGACCTCACATATTACTGTGGAGTTAACTCGATATGTACAGGAACTAAAGCAGGAAAGGAAATCGGTAACGAACCATTTCTTTCTAAGTGATAAAAGTATGTAATGAATTAATGGGATTCTAGAACTGGGTAACACCTAAACTAGAGGTATTTGCCAATGTCAAAATAATGGGTAAAGAATATGAAAAAATAGGTCCAAATTATAAGGAAAAACATAAAAGCTAGTCTTTGCCTTCAAGTATTTGGTGAGATAAGAAATGTATGTAAAAGGATGGTAATAATCATCATAACATAACACAGGGTTGCCCTTGGAACTGGTTAGTTCTGGGTTCGAGACCTAACTCTGAGATATATTAGCTCTGTGATCCTGGCCAAGTCACTTATTCTTCATTACAATGTTGAAGACTTTCTATAAATTGTAATTGAGTTGCTGATCTGCATCAGTGAAATGAGTTTTCGTAATTCAGCTTTATTATCTTTATGACAGATCTAGACAAAAATAAATAAATCTGCATTAATGTGTTAAATGGACTAAATTTTCTGTAGAAGTTAAAGTGAAATGAAGATGATTGAGGAGAGATTTTAAATGATCTCTATCACTTGTTGATATTTTACATTTTATCCTTTTCTATTTTGTGCCATCCAATAATATCTTAGTTTTTACTCCTCCCAAGCTTTACCTTTCTTTTCTCAAGCCTTCTACTGATTCTAGAATAGGTAAAAATTAACAGTATTTCTCCTTTCAGTGAATCTGCCTTGGGGCATGGTCAATAGAAAAAACATCATATTTAAAAGAAGAAACCACATATTTGTAGAAATGTTCACTTTTTAAAATTAGTTAAAGATATAATTATCTATTATTATTAGCTTAGACAATTTTCCTCTTTTGTAATCTTACTATAGAAGCTGAACTCTATTTAGTGCATGATTTTGGGTGTATTTAGTAAAGGGTGCTGACAAGCCAGACTTGAGGTTAGCAAATGATTACAATGAATTCTTTGTTAATGTATTTAAAGTAGAAATGTTTGTTTGTCAGAGCACCAGTGCAGACAGCAGTAACTTCTGAGTTATGGTCTTAGTCCAAGTTACTTTAGTGTGGAAAACTAACTGTAAAACAGCATGATAAGGTTCAAAATAATGCACAAATACTTAATACCTGTGATAGGAGCAGATTAAAAAGTCCAAACACTTGAGTTAGACTGGCTCTGTGCTTCCTGTTCTTTTCTTGGCCTTGCAAAGTGTTATACCTTCCTCCTGTTTATCCAGTAGATTAAACTTGGTGAGAATACAGTTGTTAGAATTTCAGTCAGCTTCCTAAATAGAGCTTTGTACATTTAATAAGTAGTTAAGTTCTGTTTCTGGCAACAGTAATAAGATAGAAAAACAAGAGAAACCTTAAACTGAAATGCAAAGATGGTATGAGAAAACACTAGTCAAAAGATTTGGGTTCTTGTCCAAGGCTCTGCTTTTTACTAACCATATTACTTTGGTCATGTCACTCAACTTCTGGAGCCTCTGGTTCTTTAATGGCTGTGATGATAATTTGTTACTTATCTTACAGAATTGTGAGGTTCATGAAGGGTGTTGTATATAAAGTCTTTTTGAACCTTAAAACGCTATGCTAATGTAAGCTGTTATTGTAAGTTTTGCATATTCTAGTTGAAGAGTTTTATTTCTTTGTTCTTTGCCTTCTTGGTCTGTGGTGGCTAAGATTATGTGTCATATCTTCAGCCTTATTCAGTATTAATTAATTATTCAGTATCATTTAGCACCACATAGGTGGAAGGGAACTTAGTGGTCATCTAATCCAGCTGTCTCATTTTACAGATGAGAAAACCAAAACCTAGAAAGATGAAGTGATTTGCCCAATGTTAAACAAGTAGTGAGTGACAAAGTTGGGATTTAAACTAGGACCCTTTTTTTATGTTGCATTCTCCAAATGAACTGCTGTTTTACTGCCATCTAATATGTTCCCAGATGTTCAGTCATTCATATAGCCATTCATTTTTAGTTTTCAAATATGGTTAATTTAAATGATTAAAATTTTTGTATAATGTAATTTACTTGAATTCTTTGAGTGAATGATTTCATTAATGTTGGTACTCCTTTTACCCATGCAAATTGTGAAATTCTTGTTCATAACCTCTCATATGTCCTTCATAGAGAATCTACCCATGAAACATGTAATAAATAATATATAGTAGTCCGTAATGTTCCTTTTATTTCTGTGAGAATTATGAGTAAATTACGATTCTGTGAGAATTACTAGCTCTGAAATAATATTCTTCCTTTGTAGGAATATTAAATAATTGTAGACCATAGCACATTCCATGAAAATTCCATGATTATGGTCAAGTAAAATATAACTACCATATTTATATACAAATTGTACTTTTTCCAAGGCAGTAGAGCTAACACTTTGGTTTGCTTAAAAATTTAGTCTGAAGGCCAAAACCAGGTTAATTATCACTTTCTTGGTCATTTCTTAGTTGGAAATTATTTTTAAACAATCAGTTTCAGGTACTTTGTCATCCTGAGGAAACTTTTCTCATTCTGTGGTTATTCAAAACAAATTCATTTAGTCTTCTATAATCTGATAAAATTTTGACTCACTACAGTGAGTCACGATAAGAATCATTTCTCCTTAAGTTTTCAGTAGGGAGTGATTATTGATACTTGATATATTTGTTTGATTAATGTAAATGAATGAATGATATAATGTAATCAAGAGGTTGTGTGTTATAGTGGGTAAAGAGTCAACTTTGGAGTAAGGAAAACTTAGGTTTGATGTTGCTTCTGGCCCAAACTAGCTATGTGACCACAGGCCAGTCACTTAATCTGTCATTACCCAAGGCAGCTAAAATAGAGATCCTTCAAAGAGGATCTATCTGCTCAAAACTGGCAAGGCTTTCCTCATGGGTATCAGTGCAATACTCAGGCTTTCCATCTGTTATTTCTCATTATTTCTGCATGATTGGTCTGCCTTCCTTTCCAGGTAACTTCATGATGTCTTTTATACCATTTGGAGTGTATAGGCAATCCTTGGTAATTTAGCCTATTTATGCCCGCTTGTCTTTCTTCATTGCTATCCATTGCCAATCAAGAAATGAGTATAGAAATCCATATAGGAATTTCTAGGTGGATAAAGAAGGTATATTTTCCAGATTATGGCATTCAAATGAATGGATATCCCATACATTGGTCCACCTGTACCTATGTCTTGAACATGTACAACAAATGGACAGTGGGCTTCCTCCAACCTTGAATAGCAGTAAGGAGAGAACACTAGATGGCATTTGAGAAATTGCATAGCACTTTCATTGATTCCAAATGTTTCCTGCCATTAAAGCCGGTCTTTTAAACACCCTATGTGGCTTTGAGGTATAAAATACTATAATCTCAGAAGACTAAAAATTTGAAATTACCCAAAGGGCAATGGAAAGACACATAGGTATAAGTAGGCAAATGTATATTATCAGGGAGATATTGAGGACAAAAGAGCACCAGACCTGGAGTTAGGAAGACCGGAATTCACATTCAACTTCAAATACTTATTAACTGTGTGACCCTGGACAGGTCACTTAACCTCTGTTTACATCAGTTTCCTCATCTGTAAAATGAGGATAATATTAGCACCTTCTTGCACACTGTGTGGCACATAGCAAACACTGCATGAATGTTAGCGATTATTATGAGGAGTGGTCTGTTTTTGAGCTTATAATAGGAAGTGTGATTTTAAACCTGATATAGTTTCTCAGTGACCATTTTGAATGTTCTCTGGGAAATAAGTATTATTAAAGCTATGTAGAGAGATGATGAACTCATGGTGCTGGATGGCCAATGTGAGATGTGTTGGGGGTTTTTTGTTGTTATTTTTTTGCTTTGCCGTGCACATTTATTTCAAGAAGATTTATTTTTCTTTTTGGAGGGAGTAAGGTGAGGGAGAAAATAGATTTTTGTTATTTAAAAAACAACTATGTAGCCACACCAACCTGGTAATGTATCTTTGAAATTACCTTTTCATATGGAGAGTTATTTGTTTAAAAGTCTACTTGGGACAGCTGTACCACTTTATTTTTTTTCATGTTAACATCTTCAACTTGCTAATGTGGACTAAAATTCTTTAAACTGAAGGAATAATATGATTAATTGTTTTATATCCTTTAGAAAAGAGCAGAAAAGGCTAAAAGTAGTGTTATTTTCAGAGAATTGTTTATTTGGTGTGATAACTTAGTCTCATAATACAGTCTCTTTTCCAAACATAAGCATCTTGATTATTGGCAACTGTAGACATTTAAGATGTAGGAAAAATTTAAAATAGGTGTACTAATACCTTAAGAAAAATATAATAGTGATATATACTATATTTATGGTTATTTGTCCAATTAATGTTAAATTTTAGTAAGTTTTGAATTTCCCAATATTTTTGCACGTTTTAGTGTTATCCAATGCAAGCTGCTTTCCCCTCTCCAAATTTTTTCACACACAATTTTTCATAGTTAAATATCAATTCAGTTCAACAAACATTTTAAAAATACATTTATTAATATGTAAAGCTCTGTGCTAGGTGCTGAGGTAAGATAAAAAGTTTAGATGAGATAATTCTTGTCCTCATGAAACTTCAAGTGTAGTAAAAGAATTAGTGAAGGTGTCATATTCACACAATTATAATGTAGAAGACATAAATGTATTAGGTACAAAATAGTATGCGCTATGAGATCTAAGGGAAAAAATTGTTGATACAGGGAAATTTAGGGATGGCTTCTTCTAGGCAGTAGAATTTAAGTTAAGCTTTCAGTAGAAGCCCAGGAACTGAAGAAAGGAATAGAGAATATTCTAAGAAGAAGCAACATCATGAACAAAGGTATGGAGGAAGAAAATTACAGGGCATATTTATAAGTTAGAAAATAGTAGAGAGCTGGAAAGATAACTAATATGGAAGGCCTTGAATGCCTTTTCTTGGTTTATAACATTTGAATTTCACTTTGTAAGCACCAAACAGAAAGACATTGAAGATTTTATGTCAAAAAGGACAGTTTGGAATTTACAAAATTACTGCCTACCA